TTTTTGCGACGGAGTTTTTCAATCTTGTCATCCAGGCTGGAGTGCAGTGGTTCAATCTCAGCTCACTGCAACCTCTGCCTCCTGGATTCAAGCAGTTCTCTTGCCTCAGCCCCCGCAAGTAGCTGGGATTACAGGTGCCTGCCACTACGCCCAGCTGATTTTTGTAGTTTTAGTAGAGACAGGGTTTCACCATGTTGGCCAGGCTGGTCTGGAACTCCTGACCTCAAATGATCTGTCTGCCTTGGCCTCCCAAAGTGCTGGGGTTACAGGCATGAGCCACCTTGCCCAGCCTCTAATACAAATTAAGATGTCCTGTAAATGTAAAACACACATCAAATTTTAAAGACTTGGTAAAAATATGAACGTAAAATCTCATTGCTGATTTAATTATATCAATTACATTGTTGGGGTGATAATATACAGATATATCGGTTAGGTAAAATATATTATTAAAATTAGTTTCACCCGTTTTACTTTACTTTTTAAAACACAGCTGCGGCTGGGTACAGTGGCTTACGCCTGTAATCCCAGCACTTTTGGAGGCCAAGGCAGGCAGATCACGAGGTCAGGAGTTTGAGACCAGCCTGGCCAACGTGGTGAAACCCTGACTCTACTAAAAATACAAAAATTAGCTGGGTGTAGTGGTACACGCCTGTAATCCCAGCTACTCAGGAGGCTAAGGCCCCAGAATTGCTTGAGCCCAGGAGGTGGAGGTTGCTGTGAGCCGAGATTGCGCCACTGCACTCCAACCTGGGCAATAGAGTGAGACTCTGCCACAATAAGTGAATGAATGAATGAATAAATAAATAAATAAATAAACATGGCTGCTACAAAATTTTAAATTCTGTATGTGGCTCATGTTATATTTTATCAGACAGCACTGGTCTGGATGAGATTTCTGAAACTGACTCATGAAATATGTATTAGTGCTCAATGAAACAGTTTGGAAGAACAGCACTATCCAGTAGAACTTGGGCAGTGATGTGAATGTTCCATATGTACACTGAACAACATGGTCACCACTGGCCACAGTGACTGTCGAACACTTAAAGTATGGCTAATTCTGAAATGGGAAAAGTTGAAATACGGAAAAATGGAACAGAATTTTAAATTTTATTTAATTTTAATTTAATTTTAAATAGCCACACAAGGCTAGTGGCTCATGTACAGGGACAATGACAGTCTAGAGGATTTATAGGATTTTTTTTTTTTTAAAGGAATTGTTTTATTCAAAGACTTGTGTATCTCAGACTCATGACCATGTTACAGACTTGTTAATTAGTTTAATATAAGTCTATAGATTTGTGTTTATTGTAATAATGATACCTGCAAAGTACCAGAGAAAGGATTTGTAGAATCAATTATTTATTGAGCCTTTAACTCTGTTGTGTATAGTTTCTAATATGCTGAATGCTTAGTGGATTCTAAGACACTGTGGACTAACCATGTTTTCATTGAAGTCTGGTTCCTTTTTTTTGCTTATGAGGGCTCTTCTGTGAAAGCCAGGCTCCTTTTGCAAAGTCTGAACAATGTGCTGCTTTGTTCAAGGATTTTCTCCTGAAAGGGAAACACATGCTTGTTAACAGATGATTATGATGATGATTTTTTTACTTTTAAACTTATGCTTTTGGCTTTACAAGAAATATGTACATATGTCCATACATACCTACACAGACTTAAAGTACCAGTATTATGTAATATTTATTTATTTTTGTATGTACACATACATTTGTAAGTATTGGTATGCATGTTCCTTTTTAATTAACAATCCAACTATCGTTTAACTTAACAATTAAAAATTATTAATTTATTATTGCTTCACAGTGAAAAACTGAATGTCATCATGTCTGGAATCAAGCGAACCATCAAAGAAACTGACCCTGATTACGAGGATGTATCTGTGGCCCTTCCAAATAAGCGGCATAAAGCAATTGAGAATTCAGGTAGAAATTGACCTGCCTTAGGAAATTATTTCTTTATTTCCATACGCCTCCACTGTAAGACTTATGGGAAGTAGAATGAAACGAATTTCCACAGTTGTGTATAATTTTGAAGGGGTTTGTGAGAGAGATTAGCCAAGGGGTCTATTTAATAGTAATACACCATGTGTGCCGTAAAAAGTGAAAGAAGAGCTGGCAGAAGGCTGATCAAGTAGACAGTGTAAGCGAGACAGGCTGTGAGTTTTAGCTGTCATTGTATGTTAGGTGTAATCATAAAGTCCATGATATGTATAAAGGTGTGGTGTAATCGTGAGATGATTATAGATGATACATGGATTAAGGTTTTCAATTTTAATAAGTAACATTTTAATGTGTCTAGAAAAAAGAATGATCTCATCAAACTTGTGGTTCCATAGCTACAAGGATAAAGCTAAAATTATTACTGTTTTTTTTTTTTTTTGAGACAGTTTCGCTCTTGTTGCCCAGCCTGGAATGCAGTGACGCAGTCTCGGCTCACTACAATCTCTGCCTCCTAGGTTCAAGCGATTCTCCTGTCTGCCTCCCAAGTAGCTGGGATTACAGGCATGCGCCACCCTGCCCAACTAATTTTGTATGTTTAGTAGTGACAGGGTTTCTCCATGTTGGTCAGGCTGGTCTCGAACTCCTGACCTCAGGTCATCCTCCCACGTTGGCCAAGTGCTGGGATTATGGGTGTGAGCCACCGTACCCGGCCAGCTAAAATTATTTATTTATTTATTTATTTATTTATTTTGAGACGGAGTTTCACTGTTGTTACCCAGGCTGGAGTGCAATGGCGCGATCTCGGCTCACTGCAACCTCCGCCTCCCGGGTTCAGGCAATTCTCCTGCCCCAGCCTCCTGAGTCGCTGGGATTACAGGCACGCGCCACCATGCCCAGCTAATTTTTTGTAGTTTTAGTAGAGACGGGGGTTTCACCATGTTGACCAGGATGGTCTCGATCTCTTGACCTCATGATCCACGCGCCTCGGCCTCCCACAGTGCTGGGATTACAGGCTTGAGCCACCGCGCCTGGCCTAAAATTATTTTTAAATGCTTACTTGTGTTAATTAAACGTGTCACATGGTTCTCAGATGTAGTAGGTATCTTGATGGCATATGAATGGTGGAAGATTAGGAAACATCAATCTAGTTCAGCCCCCGTACTTAGCAGATAGTGGGTAAATTAAGGTTTAGAGACATCAGATTACTTAGCTAACATCATATAAATAGTTGAAGAGCGAATCATTAACTGGGTGTCTGTAGTTCCTCAGAATGTCTTAAGCAAGCTAAAAAAAATTGCTAAATTTACGTTTTTAAAACAAATTATTACTGAACTTCATTAATGTTTATTTAAGTAATCTGCCTAAGTTAATACTTTTAGCAGGGTAAAGAAGATGTCACAGTCATAGCTAAGGTGTTGCAATTCCACAAAGATTTAGGATCTGTAGAGTGGAAATAGTGAAGAAAATTCCTATTCCTCTAAGAGCACCGAAGTCCCATGTATCCCAAAAAGTCTATGTAGAAGGAAAATTATTAAATCCAATCTCATATAATGAAAACATTTCACTGCAACTTTCCCCCTTCATTCAGCTGTAATTTTATTTGTGGGGAAATATCATTTCCTTTCAACAACAAGCCAAATAAATGTCAAAGTATTATGTAACTTAATTCATTACTCAAGAGCTTCACATGGTATAACTTTTTAAAATAAAAACAAGTATAGGGAAAAGTGATTGTTTTAATAACACTGTAACTCCAGTTTAAATTGAATCTAAGTTCCAAAATACCCCATTCAAGCTGGGGCAGTTTTTTTGTCTGTTACTGAGTGATAATATGCCATGCTTTTTCTTGCTGTCCGTACTGTACCTAATCCTGACCTTTTTTCCCCCTAAATTTTTCTCAGAGTAGATTTGGTGGGATGCTTCTCTTTGCATATGTTATTTTGTTTTGTTTCTGTCTTTTTTTGTTTGTTTTTACTTGTTCTGTGAAAGAGATAATGTAGAAGTGTTTCTTTTTGAGACGTTTATGGTATAAAAGTCTTCAGTGATTGTGTCTTCTGCTTTGTATATATAAGATGTGTATGTAGCCTAGAAATATTAGAAAATAACTCTTCCTCTAATATGAGAACTGTATTAGTCATTTACCTCTGCAGACGTAGCCACAAGAATGCTTATACCATTATTAATATTTTTTTTTTTTTTTTGAGACAGAGTGTTGCTCTGTTACCCAG